ATATTCCTGTTCCCTGTGAGTCACTTTCTCACTATGTGTGGGCCCTGATTTCCTGCCAGCCTCCAAGGGCATGCTGAAATGCTTTATCATGACCGCACCCACAGGCCTCTCCTGCCCAGGCAAGGACTCTGCCTGCAAGTGCTCCCAGGATCAGGAAGACTTAGCCCCTACAAGGGACAAAAATTCACCCCCTAGGCCTACCTCCATCAGGAATCCCTCAGGATATCCCTCTTTGGATACCCCAAAACAGCAATGCTGTCTCACAAGCAAGGTGTCCTGCAGAGTGTTCCAGCACCCGAAGCAACCTCTCCATCCGCAGGGAGTCCCAAAGACTTCATGAATATGGCCACTCCTGCCAAGCCCTGTGTTCATGAAGGGAAGTCTTGTCCACCCCTGGCCCTCAGAACTGGGGCTATGTGGGGTGGGCATGAGCTGTATGAGCAACTGAGGAGCCCACTTTCCAGCCTCATTAGGAGCTGGAACTGTGCCTCACTGTTGTGTGGGGACAGGGCTGAGGAAGTGGGACAGGGTGGGACTACAGGGATGAGGCCAGGGCTGCAGGGGCATGGCTATTATGGGGGTGGGATCAGGACCCTGTCCAGAAAGAGTGGGTGGCATCCTGAAGACCAGTATTAGAACTTTTGACGTCAATCCAGAAGGACTGGATGCAGCCTATGGGAGCTCACTCGATCCTGTGTGCCAAGGCAGGTCATGAAGCCGTGTTTAGAATGGAGTCCTGACTTTTTAAAATCTATTTATTTTAATCCTGGTCGAAGACCCCCACCCTCACCCTCCCCTCCCAGTACTTCTTCCCCATTCCCTCCCCCACTCCCTAATCCCTTCCTCTTCCATGTCCATCCAGGAAAGAGCAGGTCTCCTATGAGTATCAACAAAACATGGCACATCAAGTTGCAGTAAGACTGGAGCACCTCCCCATGTATTAAGGCTGGGCAAGGAGACCCAGTATGAGGAGTAGGGTTCCAAAAGCCAGTTAAACAGTCGGAGGCAGCCCCTGTTCCTGCTGTTAGGAGTCCCATAAGAGGACCAGGCTTCACACCTGTAACATAGGTGCATAGTGAAGCACTATGAACCCAGGTTAGTTGATTGTGTGAGCCTTCCTGTGGTGTCCTTGACCCCTCTGGAGTCCTGGCTTTTGGTGCTAGACTGTGTGATACTGAGTTGGAAGCCTGCCTCAGCACCCAACCTCCCACTTGTTTCTGACCAAGACTCGGGGCCTCCTGCTCTGCTGCTGTCCCAAGGGTTATATAGTGACAGGAGCTCAAGGATGGTTTGGTGGTGTGAAGATCCTGAACGGAAGTCCAGGGTCCTCTGGAGTCTTCAATAGCCTCCTCTGCCCTCTCTGTCTGCACTCATGGAGAACTAACATGGTCACACCAGGCAGGGGTCAACCTCCTGCTATTTCATCAGTGCCCTTGAACCCACCTGCCTGAAGGACACCTCAGGCACCAGCATCCCCATCTGTGCAGAAGGTCCCTTAAACCCAGCCTGCCTCCCTACCAATTGTGTGAAGATCTGAAAGTGTGGCTGCCTGAGGCCCGGAATCCACACAACCTTGCAGGACCCGACAGTTGCTGGGGATGAGCCAGGCCAAGCTCTGCCACAGCTGTGGCTGCTCCCTGTAGCATCCCACCACGTTCCAGGTCCTCCTGCTGAGAGTTACACCTCACCCAGGAGCAGAGTCTGCCCCTGCCCCAGCTCTGCCCTCTAAGAGTGCACACATGGGTTTGCTCTGTGGGCCCTGCATGGCTCTCAGACATGCTCCAGGAGAGATCCGGGTTCATGCTGTCCTGCTGGCTTGGCCAGGAAGGTTCTGTTTCACTCACTGGTGTCAGTACTAGACTTCGTGGTCTGTTCTAAAAGAGACCCAGCTTGACAGACTTAGGAGACCCTGGGGGTATGGTACCATGACATGGCCCTTCTTGATGTGGCAAACTAACTCTTAATGGGCTCTGTGGTACCCAGCTCCTGGTACTCACACCTCTATGTACTCTCACCTTGAGTGTGGGCAAGACTCATGTCTTGTTGTCTCTAAAAGGACATACAAGGAGATGTCACCTTGCTGTGGGATAATGCTCTTGTACACTGTAAAGATTTGTCACTCGAATTGGTTTAATGAAACACTGATTGGCCAGTAGCCAGGCAGGAAGTATAGGCAGGAAAACCAAACTGATAATGCTGGGAAGAAGGAGGGCGGAGTCAGGAGTCGCCAACCAGATACAGAGGAAGCAAGATGAGAACGCCACACTGAGAAAAGGTACCAAGCCACGTGACTAAACATAGATAAGAATTATGGATTAATTTTGCTGTCCAGACACAGAAACTTCCGCCTCCATCACCTCCTCAGCTGAGTGACATGAGAATGTACCATCATCTGGCTGGGCGTCTGTCCCTTGATGGCTATGTGGTTAAGTCCATGTGATAGAGTACCCAGTGGCCTCCAGGCAACAAGAAGCTGAGGCCTGTTGTGCCCACCCACTCCCAGGTAACTGACACAGCCAGCAATCATGGCAACCTCAGTGGCTCCTACCCTTCCATCTGGAAATAAGACATGGCCCCTGCTTACATCTGATGGCAGCCTTGTGGAACCTTGGACAGAGGGCCCACCTAAGACAGGCAGGGACTCATGACCCTTAGAAGCTAGGGATCATAAATGTGTGCTAGACAGACACTCTCTGTTGTGCCATTGGGCACACACCAAGTTTGTCTGGTGTTTGGAAGTCAGGCCAAAGGGAGGCTAGGTACCCTGGTCAAGGATGACAAGCTGACCAGTTTTCCAGAATTTTCAGTCTCCTCAACTTGGATGACACCCCCATACTGTGTAGCTACTCATGGGGACATGGAGAGAAGGCCCAACCTCTCTTCCCTGACCATTTCCCTGTACCTGTCAGCTGCCACGCTTCTGGCCCTCTGAGGGCATCCTTGGGAGTGGCCAGCACCGCCCCCTTTGCCGAGTCTTCCAGGAAAGCTTAGTCAAGCCACAAGCCATCCTGTCTGAGACAAGGAACACCTGTTTGCAGCGGCCGTGGGAATGTACAGCAGTAACAACTAGTGTTTAACAGGTCGACCCACCAGACCCACCTGATGGGGAGCCCCATCTGGCCAGGCCATGGGGTCACTGGCTGTGGAAACCGGTTGTTCTCTGGCTGTAATTTCTCTCATGTGCCACCACATTTCTCCGCTAAGAACTGCTATGAGTGTTCTCCACTGCTCGTGTGTTTATGTCAGAATGTATTCCATCTTTGGGCACACATAGAGCTGTGGATGTTCTGGAAGATGATTTCTGTTTAGGCTGTATAATTCTGATGTATAGAAACAGAACTAGGATATTTTACATTATCAGACTGACATAGGATTCTCAGTCTGTTTAGGCTGTATAATTCTGATGTATAGACACAGAACTAGGATATTTTACATTATCAGACTGACATAGGATTCTCAGTCACCAAGACAGCCTTTTACACAGACAGCTAATTTTGAACTTCAGAACAAATTCAAAGCAGACTAAACTGCCCCTGCAGAAAATATTTAAAAGACTAATTCCCAAGTGTTGTTTATTGCTAAATCAAGGCCTGGCTGTTTACATTGAGACACAGTTTCTTGCAGTAGCTCCCTTTCTGCATATGTCCTGATGGCTCAAGGTTCAGTCACTTGTTTACTGTCTGGGATCCCTCACCAACTTAGAGCTACATGCATGGGTCATTGCGACATTACTAGCCTAAGAAAAACTACATGACTTATCTTGGATTATGAGAATTGGTTGGACTATGAAAATGTAACATAATTGTCCAGAGTTTGACTATGAGGCAGCGGCGGTGGCGGCGGTGTGGGGAGACGGCTGGGGAAAGTTGGGTGAAAGAACTGCTGCCATGAAGGAAGAGAGAGCTATGTGAAGGAACTGTGGAAAGAGCAGGCAGTGTGCGTGTGTGTGTGTGTGTGTGTGTGTGTGTGTGTGTGTGTTAGAGTGTGAGTGTGTGTGCGTGTGTGTGTGTGTGTGTGTGTGTGTGTGTGTGTGTGTGTTAGAGTGTGTGTTAGAGTGTGAGTGTGTGTGTGTGTGCGTGTGTGTTAGAGTGTGAGTGTGTGTGTTAGAGTGTGAGTGTGTGTGTTAGAGAGAGTATGTGTTAGAGTGTGAGTGTGTGTGTGTGCAGAAGGAGCTGAGGCAGGAGAGAGAGCAAGAAAGATTTTCAAAGAGAAGAGGGGGCTGTGTAAGTGTGTGTGGAAAATGTATATAAAGAGATGTAACTGTGTGGAGACAGGTATTTTCAGAGAGGGGATTTCTCAAGTTGAAGTAAAAGAGAAAGTTATCACCAGAACGCATGTGTGTTTCCTTATTATTTACTCCTCAGATAGAAAAAGTCTAGCCCTCAGATATGTAAGAATTTTTCCTAAGCCCTGGCTGCCTTCGTGGACTTTCTTGCATTACCCTGGTGGTAGTTGGGGGCTGCCCCCCCCCAAAGCTACCGATACTTGTTGCCAAGAGCCTCTGTGCGTCAGGAGGGAGCTGGGTCCAGGTTCCAGTGGTACCCTGGAAACAATGAATACCAGCAGGGTGTCAGCGGGCAGTTGGGGGTTGCAGAAAACCCCTGGCCTTGCTCTAGTAATATGGATTCGCTGCAGACTGCTGAAAGGCCACTTGGGTGAAAGCAACTTCTGATGATGGGCCAAGCCCCCAGCTCAGCCTCCAGGTCAACTGCTCTCTCTTGTCCCTACTCTGTATGCCATGCTCCATCCTAGCACTGATGACCAGCTGGCAGGAGGGGTGTCTTATCATGAACTCAGAGCCCCAATTTCTTCTTCTGTATCCATCGAGATCTCCGGCCATGGGTGTGGACAAACACGTGAGAAGTGGCAGTCTCTCTAAGATGAAGCTCAGCTCTGGTTTCTGGAGTTACGCAACAGAGATGGGGACTGAAGTGCGGGGGAGGGGAGCAAGCATCGGCATAAACGAGGACACCAGAGCTAAAGACCTCGGCACACTGGACCACTGGGTGCATCATTCCTTTTATTGCTCAGCAGGGGGTGGCTGAATGGGACTGTCTGTGTAGGCTGCAATCAGTTCATGAGGTGCTCAGGAGCCAGAGCAAAGGGCTCGTACACAGCTGGGAAAAGGGTCGACACCGGCAGACAGGTAGACAGAGAGACACATACCAATAGGACGCTAACAGCAACCCCGCGTCCGCGACGTACTGGGTAACCCACGGTTATCACTGAGCGCAGTCAGCCACCGGTCAAACCCTTCTGCTACACATACTAGCCTAAAAGAAACTACGTGACTTATCTTGTGTGAGGAGAATGCATGGGGCGCTGAAAATGTAACGTAATTGTCCGGAGTTTGGCTGCGAGGCAGCAGCGGCGTGGAGTGGAGAGAGACGGCTGGGTGAACGTCATCACAGTCACCGTCCCAAAGCTTGCCATTAGTGAAACAGTCAACAAAGGAGGAAGTTCATGAGCAAGAAGGCAAGGGGCTTTCCCAGGACGCACCATATTCTGCCTGACAGGAAAACCGAACTCACCAGGAAACAGCAACAGTGGGGCAGAGATCACACCCAAAGCTGCTTCAACTCACAGACATGGGAACGGCCGAGGCAATGGTGCTCTCTCGGCATTGGGTGGCCTCTTGCGACTTACCCCACAAAGGCCAGCGGAGCTCTCCAGCTGTAACTTGCTGCCTTCGTGGCTTCCGAGGCTCGGAAGCAACTAGCGTTATTTTCGGTTTCGTACAGGAGGGCTGTGTGATGTGACAGACGCACTATTCATTTCTGCGCTGGTTTCAAGTCTGTGGATCAAGGTGGACAACATGTATTCCAGGGGAGGTTGCTTTCGCGGTGCCCAGCCCCTGGCTTTTAGCTTAGCTTGTCACTTGCACTGACTCTGACCTCTGGCCCTCACTTGGCCACAGGCCTGGATGCAGATTTGTCAACGGTGTCTTCAGTCTGTTCCAACAGTACTAGTTCTGTTCTTGCAGAGGACGCCACCATCGCTCTGGAACCGGGCCTGGCATTTGTCACCTCTGTCTCGGCTTCCTCCTCCTCCTCCTCTTCGGGAGAGAAGCTTTCTCGAGCATCAAAAAAGGTGATAGCTTCTTCCTGGGGTCTCTGCTCTGCGTGCCCTTCCTCACCTTCAGTGCTTCTGCTCTTCTTGGTGGGCGAAGAGGAGAATCCTAACTTGGGAAACCGGAACCAGCCTGCCTTCTCCTGTTTCCTGGGCAGGTCAGGGTCCAGCCGAGCTGCAGGCTGCACGTGGACTGGAGCAGGTCTTTGGGCGGTGTCTCTGGAATCAGCAGCCGTCTCTTCCACAGAGGAGAAGCCAATGCTTGGAAGCCAGGACCACAACAGGCTGGCCTTTTTACCTTCTGACTTCTGTTTTGTAGCCATCTCAGGGGTCTTTACCTCCTGGCTGTCCTCGGGAAATTCAAGAATCTCGGCTGGCTCTTCATCAGAGGTGCTGTCTGCAAGCTGGGGCCCAGGGGGCACCTCAGGTGACAGTGGTGGCATGCCAACACTGGAAGAGATCATTTCAAATGGTTCGCCGGCATCAGGAGGGATATCGCCAGCAGCTGGCAGGGGAACTCTACCCAAGCCCTCTTGCACCTGCGAGTCGGGAGCCACAGTATACACACTAGGCTGCACAGGGGTTTCTGGGATTTTCACTTTCAGCAAAGAAAACCCATAAGAAGGAGTCTGAACTGTAGAAGCAGGAATCTCTGACTCCCGCACAATCTGAGTGGAAAAGGCTCCGTGTGCTGAGGAATCCGCACCCTCTCGTTCCACCCTGCTGCAGATCATGACTTCTTGACTCTCGCCTTGAGACCCCTGAATGTGCACTCTGACCTTAGAAATTGGGGATGCTTCCAAGGACTGCTCAAGGCTTGCTGGTGGCGCTCTGGCATCCTCAGCTCCTGTTTTTAGAATGCTAGCTTCCCAAAGCCCAGGGCTGTCTTCATGTACGGTACTGCCAATGCTGGCCTCTGTACATTGCACCTCCCTCACCACAGGGAAGAATACATCAGCCTCGGAGCTGGAGGCTTGGAAGGAGAACTTGGGCACCTTTAGTTTGGGGAATGTTACAGTCAACACAGAATCCTCCCAGAGCTGACTTGTGCTCACCACAGAGACCTGGGATGGCATCTCAGTGAGGGAAGCCTTCAGCCTCAGAGGCCCTTGCGGCTGGGAAGGCCTGCTTCCTGTTCCAGCCTCTGCCTCAGCAAGAATGTTTCCTCCTATTCCTTCTGGAGGAAGTTGGGGTTCTGAGACTCTCACACCAGACATCTCAAGGGAGAAGGAGTCCTTAGCTGGATGGTTCCCTAACTCAGGGGTGGACAGACGTGTCTCGGACATCCCAGCAATGGAGCTGTGCAGCCTAGAGCCTGTTCCACGGAGATCACGTTTTACAACATCTGCATACGTCGGGCTTTCTGGGGTCTTCACACTGGTCCCTTCCTCTGGGGACCCCAGGGAGACATGTGCTCCTACCTTCGGCTCAGGCACGTGGGACAGTTGCACAGTGGGTACTGCCACTTCTGCCTCTGAGGGTATGCTGACACCAGGAGTCTGTGTCTGAGTAGCTTCCTCTTCTCCAGCCCCATCTCGCTCCTTGGATGAAGAGCGCCTAAAACCAGGAACTCGGAACTTGGGCATTTTGAACCAGCGCTCATGCGAGCCTGTTGACATCTCCTTTGCTGTGGGATCCATCTCAGGGCTTTCCGTGGTGGAGGCATTATCTCTTTGTCTACAGGATGGCTGCAGGTCTCCAGTTATAGATGCTGTCAGTTCCCCAAGGGGCTCACTTGCAGACACACCCACAAACATATGACTCTTGCTGTCACCTCTGACATCCAGGTCAGTCACCCCTGCTGTCATGGAGGGGGAGATGACACAGGGCTCTGTACTGACATCTGTTGAATGAGTGCTCCCAACATGCGTGTCACTGACAGTGGTTTCTATGACTACCAAGTCAACTCCAGCTGTGGTACCAGTAAGTGAAGGCTTCACATCTCCATGGAGCAGGCCAGCCCGCCCCTTAGAACCCTTTATCTTGGGTAGTGCAAGTCGTGGCATGGAAAAGCTCAGTTTCCGGGTTCTTCCCTTCTCTGTTTCCTTCTCGACAGATGCAGGCTGGTGTGACTCCACTGGGTAAGCACAGGTCCCAACCTGAGTGTCCGTTTCAATCATAGAGAAACCTAAACCAGTTACGGGGTCCACCTGAAGGGACTCAGAATCACTTGCAGACCCTCCTTCCTTTTTTGGGGACCAGTTGAATGGAGGGAGTTTGATGCGTGGTAATTTGAAGGAACTTCCCTTTCCTTCATGATCAGATCCTTCAACTGGCGATGTCATGGCAAAGTCAATGGAGGATTCATCCAAAGCAGGAGAAACAGGGGGATCTGAAGATGGAACTAGGGAGCCTAAAGAATTGGACACTGCAAGAGGACTAGAGGAGGAAGGAACACCATGCTCAGACAGAGACAAATCATGTTCTGCTGATGATGGAAGGGAAACTACAAATTTGGGTTTATAGAACTTAGGAAACAAAATCTGAGCTTTAAAAGAGGTAACAGAATGATCAAAAGAGTCATGAGACTGAACAAAGTTACCTGAGGAAGGACAAACAGGTGAACGAACACTAGACAGGGATACCTCAAACTCAGGGCTGCTCAGCTCTCCCGTGGGACCCTTCACGTCCACTTTGGGGCCCTTCAGGTCCACGTGCGGGCCCGTGAGGTCCACCTTGGGCATCTTCAGGCTGGGCATCTGCACCTTGGGCAGGTGGCCCTTCAGGCCGGCCCCAGCGGCAGCCTGTGCGGGCAGCTCTCCCTCGGGCAGCTGGCCCTCGGGCAGCTTCACGCCCACCTGGCCGGCCTTGACCTCCAGCTCGGCGGAGGGCAGCTGAATGCTCAGGTCAGGGGTCTTGAGGTCGCCCTGCGCGGAGGGCAGGGCCACGTCCGCCTCCACCTTGGGCGCCGCCACCTCCAGCGAGGCCTCCACGGAGGGCCTGCCAGGCGCGGACACGCCGAAGGAGGGCATCTTGAACTTGGGCATCTTGAACTTGCTGTCTTTGGCGGCCACGTCCTTGTCGGCCAGGGCCAGGTCCCCCTCCAGCTTGGCACCCGGGGCCTGGATGTCCACCTCCACGCCGGGCAGGGCCACGTCCACCTCGGGGCCGCTCAGCTCCCCCTTGGCGCCCTTCACGTCCACTTTGGGGCCCTTCAGGTCCACGTGCGGGCCCTTGAGGTCCACCTTGGGCATCTTCAGGCTGGGCATCTGCACCTTGGGCAGGTGGCCCTTCAGGCCGGCCCCAGCGGCAGCCTGTGCGGGCAGCTCTCCCTCGGGCAGCTGGCCCTCGGGCAGCTTCACGCCCACCTGGCCGGCCTTGACCTCCAGCTCGGCGGAGGGCAGCTGAATGCTCAGGTCAGGGGTCTTGAGGTCGCCCTGCGCGGAGGGCAGGGCCACGTCCGCCTCCACCTTGGGCGCCGCCACCTCCAGCGAGGCCTCCACGGAGGGCCTGCCAGGCGCGGACACGCCGAAGGAGGGCATCTTGAACTTGGGCATCTTGAACTTGCTGTCTTTGGCGGCCACGTCCTTGTCGGCCAGGGCCAGGTCCCCCTCCAGCTTGGCACCCGGGGCCTGGATGTCCACCTCCACGCCGGGCAGGGCCACGTCCACCTCGGGGATGCTCAGCTCCCCCTTGGGGCCCTTCACGTCCACTTTGGGGCCCTTCAGGTCCACGTGCGGGCCCTTGAGGTCCACCTTGGGCATCTTCAGGCTGGGCATCTGCACCTTGGGCAGGTGGCCCTTCAGGCCGGCCCCAGCGGCAGCCTGTGCGGGCAGCTCTCCCTCGGGCAGCTGGCCCTCGGGCAGCTTCACGCCCACCTGGCCGGCCTTGACCTCCAGCTCGGCGGAGGGCAGCTGAATGCTCAGGTCAGGGGTCTTGAGGTCGCCCTGCGCGGAGGGCAGGGCCACGTCCGCCTCCACCTTGGGCGCCGCCACCTCCAGCGAGGCCTCCACGGAGGGCCTGCCAGGCGCGGACACGCCGAAGGAGGGCATCTTGAACTTGGGCATCTTGAACTTGCTGTCTTTGGCGGCCACGTCCTTGTCGGCCAGGGCCAGGTCCCCCTCCAGCTTGGCACCCGGGGCCTGGATGTCCACCTCCACGCCGGGCAGGGCCACGTCCACCTCGGGTCCGCTCAGCTCGCCCTTGGGGCCCTTCACGTCCACTTTGGGGCCCTTCAGGTCCACGTGCGGGCCCTTGAGGTCCACCTTGGGCATCTTCAGGCTGGGCATCTGCACCTTGGGCAGGTGGCCCTTCAGGCCGGCCCCAGCGGCAGCCTGTGCGGGCAGCTCTCCCTCGGGCAGCTGGCCCTCGGGCAGCTTCACGCCCACCTGGCCGGCCTTGACCTCCAGCTCGGCGGAGGGCAGCTGAATGCTCAGGTCAGGGGTCTTGAGGTCGCCCTGCGCGGAGGGCAGGGCCACGTCCGCCTCCACCTTGGGCGCCGCCACCTCCAGCGAGGCCTCCACGGAGGGCCTGCCAGGCGCGGACACGCCGAAGGAGGGCATCTTGAACTTGGGCATCTTGAACTTGCTGTCTTTGGCGGCCACGTCCTTGTCGGCCAGGGCCAGGTCCCCCTCCAGCTTGGCACCCGGGGCCTGGATGTCCACCTCCACGCCGGGCAGGGCCACGTCCACCTCGGGGCCGCTCAGCTCCCCCTTGGGGCCCTTCACGTCCACTTTGGGGCCCTTCAGGTCCACGTGCGGGCCCTTGAGGTCCACCTTGGGCATCTTCAGGCTGGGCATCTGCACCTTGGGCAGGTGGCCCTTCAGGCCGGCCCCAGCGGCAGCCTGTGCGGGCAGCTCTCCCTCGGGCAGCTGGCCCTCGGGCAGCTTCACGCCCACCTGGCCGGCCTTGACCTCCAGCTCGGCGGAGGGCAGCTGAATGCTCAGGTCAGGGGTCTTGAGGTCGCCCTGCGCGGAGGGCAGGGCCACGTCCGCCTCCACCTTGGGCGCCGCCACCTCCAGCGAGGCCTCCACGGAGGGCCTGCCAGGCGCGGACACGCCGAAGGAGGGCATCTTGAACTTGGGCATCTTGAACTTGCTGTCTTTGGCGGCCACGTCCTTGTCGGCCAGGGCCAGGTCCCCCTCCAGCTTGGCACCCGGGGCCTGGATGTCCACCTCCACGCCGGGCAGGGCCACGTCCACCTCGGGGCCGCTCAGCTCCCCCTTGGCGCCCTTCACGTCCACTTTGGGGCCCTTCAGGTCCACGTGCGGGCCCTTGAGGTCCACCTTGGGCATCTTCAGGCTGGGCATCTGCACCTTGGGCAGGTGGCCCTTCAGGCCGGCCCCAGCGGCAGCCTGTGCGGGCAGCTCTCCCTCGGGCAGCTGGCCCTCGGGCAGCTTCACGCCCACCTGGCCGGCCTTGACCTCCAGCTCGGCGGAGGGCAGCTGAATGCTCAGGTCAGGGGTCTTGAGGTCGCCCTGCGCGGAGGGCAGGGCCACGTCCGCCTCCACCTTGGGCGCCGCCACCTCCAGCGAGGCCTCCACGGAGGGCCTGCCAGGCGCGGACACGCCGAAGGAGGGCATCTTGAACTTGGGCATCTTGAACTTGCTGTCTTTGGCGGCCACGTCCTTGTCGGCCAGGGCCAGGTCCCCCTCCAGCTTGGCACCCGGGGCCTGGATGTCCACCTCCACGCCGGGCAGGGCCACGTCCACCTCGGGGCCGCTCAGCTCCCCCTTGGCGCCCTTCACGTCCACTTTGGGGCCCTTCAGGTCCACGTGCGGGCCCTTGAGGTCCACCTTGGGCATCTTCAGGCTGGGCATCTGCACCTTGGGCAGGTGGCCCTTCAGGCCGGCCCCAGCGGCAGCCTGTGCGGGCAGCTCTCCCTCGGGCAGCTGGCCCTCGGGCAGCTTCACGCCCACCTGGCCGGCCTTGACCTCCAGCTCGGCGGAGGGCAGCTGAATGCTCAGGTCAGGGGTCTTGAGGTCGCCCTGCGCGGAGGGCAGGGCCACGTCCGCCTCCACCTTGGGCGCCGCCACCTCCAGCGAGGCCTCCACGGAGGGCCTGCCAGGCGCGGACACGCCGAAGGAGGGCATCTTGAACTTGGGCATCTTGAACTTGCTGTCTTTGGCGGCCACGTCCTTGTCGGCCAGGGCCAGGTCCCCCTCCAGCTTGGCACCCGGGGCCTGGATGTCCACCTCCACGCCGGGCAGGGCCACGTCCACCTCGGGGCCGCTCAGCTCCCCCTTGGCGCCCTTCACGTCCACTTTGGGGCCCTTCAGGTCCACGTGCGGGCCCTTGAGGTCCACCTTGGGCATCTTCAGGCTGGGCATCTGCACCTTGGGCAGGTGGCCCTTCAGGCCGGCCCCAGCGGCAGCCTGTGCGGGCAGCTCTCCCTCGGGCAGCTGGCCCTCGGGCAGCTTCACGCCCACCTGGCCGGCCTTGACCTCCAGCTCGGCGGAGGGCAGCTGAATGCTCAGGTCAGGGGTCTTGAGGTCGCCCTGCGCGGAGGGCAGGGCCACGTCCGCCTCCACCTTGGGCGCCGCCACCTCCAGCGAGGCCTCCACGGAGGGCCTGCCAGGCGCGGACACGCCGAAGGAGGGCATCTTGAACTTGGGCATCTTGAACTTGCTGTCTTTGGCGGCCACGTCCTTGTCGGCCAGGGCCAGGTCCCCCTCCAGCTTGGCACCCGGGGCCTGGATGTCCACCTCCACGCCGGGCAGGGCCACGTCCACCTCGGGGATGCTCAGCTCCCCCTTGGGGCCCTTCACGTCCACTTTGGGGCCCTTCAGGTCCACGTGCGGGCCCTTGAGGTCCACCTTGGGCATCTTCAGGCTGGGCATCTGCACCTTGGGCAGGTGGCCCTTCAGGCCGGCCCCAGCGGCAGCCTGTGCGGGCAGCTCTCCCTCGGGCAGCTGGCCCTCGGGCAGCTTCACGCCCACCTGGCCGGCCTTGACCTCCAGCTCGGCGGAGGGCAGCTGAATGCTCAGGTCAGGGGTCTTGAGGTCGCCCTGCGCGGAGGGCAGGGCCACGTCCGCCTCCACCTTGGGCGCCGCCACCTCCAGCGAGGCCTCCACGGAGGGCCTGCCAGGCGCGGACACGCCGAAGGAGGGCATCTTGAACTTGGGCATCTTGAACTTGCTGTCTTTGGCGGCCACGTCCTTGTCGGCCAGGGCCAGGTCCCCCTCCAGCTTGGCACCCGGGGCCTGGATGTCCACCTCCACGCCGGGCAGGGCCACGTCCACCTCGGGGCCGCTCAGCTCCCCCTTGGCGCCCTTCACGTCCACTTTGGGGCCCTTCAGGTCCACGTGCGGGCCCTTGAGGTCCACCTTGGGCATCTTCAGGCTGGGCATCTGCACCTTGGGCAGGTGGCCCTTCAGGCCGGCCCCAGCGGCAGCCTGTGCGGGCAGCTCTCCCTCGGGCAGCTGGCCCTCGGGCAGCTTCACGCCCACCTGGCCGGCCTTGACCTCCAGCTCGGCGGAGGGCAGCTGAATGCTCAGGTCAGGGGTCTTGAGGTCGCCCTGCGCGGAGGGCAGGGCCACGTCCGCCTCCACCTTGGGCGCCGCCACCTCCAGCGAGGCCTCCACGGAGGGCCTGCCAGGCGCGGACACGCCGAAGGAGGGCATCTTGAACTTGGGCATCTTGAACTTGCTGTCTTTGGCGGCCACGTCCTTGTCGGCCAGGGCCAGGTCCCCCTCCAGCTTGGCACCCGGGGCCTGGATGTCCACCTCCACGCCGGGCAGGGCCACGTCCACCTCGGGGCCGCTCAGCTCCCCCTTGGCGCCCTTCACGTCCACTTTGGGGCCCTTCAGGTCCACGTGCGGGCCCTTGAGGTCCACCTTGGGCATCTTCAGGCTGGGCATCTGCACCTTGGGCAGGTGGCCCTTCAGGCCGGCCCCAGCGGCAGCCTGTGCGGGCAGCTCTCCCTCGGGCAGCTGGCCCTCGGGCAGCTTCACGCCCACCTGGCCGGCCTTGACCTCCAGCTCGGCGGAGGGCAGCTGAATGCTCAGGTCAGGGGTCTTGAGGTCGCCCTGCGCGGAGGGCAGGGCCACGTCCGCCTCCACCTTGGGCGCCGCCACCTCCAGCGAGGCCTCCACGGAGGGCCTGCCAGGCGCGGACACGCCGAAGGAGGGCATCTTGAACTTGGGCATCTTGAACTTGCTGTCTTTGGCGGCCACGTCCTTGTCGGCCAGGGCCAGGTCCCCCTCCAGCTTGGCACCCGGGGCCTGGATGTCCACCTCCACGCCGGGCAGGGCCACGTCCACCTCGGGGCCGCTCAGCTCCCCCTTGGGGCCCTTCACGTCCACTTTGGGGCCCTTCAGGTCCACGTGCGGGCCCTTGAGGTCCACCTTGGGCATCTTCAGGCTGGGCATCTGCACCTTGGGCAGGTGGCCCTTCAGGCCGGCCCCAGCGGCAGCCTGTGCGGGCAGCTCTCCCTCGGGCAGCTGGCCCTCGGGCAGCTTCACGCCCACCTGGCCGGCCTTGACCTCCAGCTCGGCGGAGGGCAGCTGAATGCTCAGGTCAGGGGTCTTGAGGTCGCCCTGCGCGGAGGGCAGGGCCACGTCCGCCTCCACCTTGGGCGCCGCCACCTCCAGCGAGGCCTCCACGGAGGGCCTGCCAGGCGCGGACACGCCGAAGGAGGGCATCTTGAACTTGGGCATCTTGAACTTGCTGTCTTTGGCGGCCACGTCCTTGTCGGCCAGGGCCAGGTCCCCCTCCAGCTTGGCACCCGGGGCCTGGATGTCCACCTCCACGCCGGGCAGGGCCACGTCCACCTCGGGGCCGCTCAGCTCCCCCTTGGCGCCCTTCACGTCCACTTTGGGGCCCTTCAGGTCCACGTGCGGGCCCTTGAGGTCCACCTTGGGCATCTTCAGGCTGGGCATCTGCACCTTGGGCAGGTGGCCCTTCAGGCCGGCCCCAGCGGCAGCCTGTGCGGGCAGCTCTCCCTCGGGCAGCTGGCCCTCGGGCAGCTTCACGCCCACCTGGCCGGCCTTGACCTCCAGCTCGGCGGAGGGCAGCTGAATGCTCAGGTCAGGGGTCTTGAGGTCGCCCTGCGCGGAGGGCAGGGCCACGTCCGCCTCCACCTTGGGCGCCGCCACCTCCAGCGAGGCCTCCACGGAGGGCCTGCCAGGCGCGGACACGCCGAAGGAGGGCATCTTGAACTTGGGCATCTTGAACTTGCTGTCTTTGGCGGCCACGTCCTTGTCGGCCAGGGCCAGGTCCCCCTCCAGCTTGGCACCCGGGGCCTGGATGTCCACCTCCACGCCGGGCAGGGCCACGTCCACCTCGGGGCCGCTCAGCTCCCCCTTGGCGCCCTTCACGTCCACTTTGGGGCCCTTCAGGTCCACGTGCGGGCCCTTGAGGTCCACCTTGGGCATCTTCAGGCTGGGCATCTGCACCTTGGGCAGGTGGCCCTTCAGGCCGGCCCCAGCGGCAGCCTGTGCGGGCAGCTCTCCCTCGGGCAGCTGGCCCTCGGGCAGCTTCACGCCCACCTGGCCGGCCTTGACCTCCAGCTCGGCGGAGGGCAGCTGAATGCTCAGGTCAGGGGTCTTGAGGTCGCCCTGCGCGGAGGGCAGGGCCACGTCCGCCTCCACCTTGGGCGCCGCCACCTCCAGCGAGGCCTCCACGGAGGGCCTGCCAGGCGCGGACACGCCGAAGGAGGGCATCTTGAACTTGGGCATCTTGAACTTGCTGTCTTTGGCGGCCACGTCCTTGTCGGCCAGGGCCAGGTCCCCCTCCAGCTTGGCACCCGGGGCCTGGATGTCCACCTCCACGCCGGGCAGGGCCACGTCCACCTCGGGGATGCTCAGCTCCCCCTTGGGGCCCTTCACGTCCACTTTGGGGCCCTTCAGGTCCACGTGCGGGCCCTTGAGGTCCACCTTGGGCATCTTCAGGCTGGGCATCTGCACCTTGGGCAGGTGGCCCTTCAGGCCGGCCCCAGCGGCAGCCTGTGCGGGCAGCTCTCCCTCGGGCAGCTGGCCCTCGGGCAGCTTCACGCCCACCTGGCCGGCCTTGACCTCCAGCTCGGCGGAGGGCAGCTGAATGCTCAGGTCAGGGGTCTTGAGGTCGCCCTGCGCGGAGGGCAGGGCCACGTCCGCCTCCACCTTGGGCGCCGCCACCTCCAGCGAGGCCTCCACGGAGGGCCTGCCAGGCGCGGACACGCCGAAGGAGGGCATCTTGAACTTGGGCATCTTGAACTTGCTGTCTTTGGCGGCCACGTCCTTGTCGGCCAGGGCCAGGTCCCCCTCCAGCTTGGCACCCGGGGCCTGGATGTCCACCTCCACGCCGGGCAGGGCCACGTCCACCTCGGGGCCGCTCAGCTCCCCCTTGGCGCCCTTCACGTCCACTTTGGGGCCCTTCAGGTCCACGTGCGGGCCCTTGAGGTCCACCTTGGGCATCTTCAGGCTGGGCATCTGCACCTTGGGCAGGTGGCCCTTCAGGCCGGCCCCAGCGGCAGCCTGTGCGGGCAGCTCTCCCTCGGGCAGCTGGCCCTCGGGCAGCTTCACGCCCACCTGGCCGGCCTTGACCTCCAGCTCGGCGGAGGGCAGCTGAATGCTCAGGTCAGGGGTCTTGAGGTCGCCCTGCGCGGAGGGCAGGGCCACGTCCGCCTCCACCTTGGGCGCCGCCACCTCCAGCGAGGCCTCCACGGAGGGCCTGCCAGGCGCGGACACGCCGAAGGAGGGCATCTTGAACTTGGGCATCTTGAACTTGCTGTCTTTGGCGGCCACGTCCTTGTCGGCCAGGGCCAGGTCCCCCTCCAGCTTGGCACCCGGGGCCTGGATGTCCACCTCCACGCCGGGCAGGGCCACGTCCACCTCGGGGATGCTCAGCTCCCCCTTGGGGCCCTTCACGTCCACTTTGGGGCCCTTCAGGTCCACGTGCGGGCCCTTGAGGTCCACCTTGGGCATCTTCAGGCTGGGCATCTGCACCTTGGGCAGGTGGCCCTTCAGGCCGGCCCCAGCGGCAGCCTGTGCGGGCAGCTCTCCCTCGGGCAGCTGGCCCTCGGGCAGCTTCACGCCCACCTGGCCGGCCTTGACCTCCAGCTCGGCGGAGGGCAGCTGAATGCTCAGGTCAGGGGTCTTGAGGTCGCCCTGCGCGGAGGGCAGGGCCACGTCCGCCTCCACCTTGGGCGCCGCCACCTCCAGCGAGGCCTCCACGGAGGGCCTGCCAGGCGCGGACACGCCGAAGGAGGGCATCTTGAACTTGGGCATCTTGAACTTGCTGTCTTTGGCGGCCACGTCCTTGTCGGCCAGGGCCAGGTCCCCCTCCAGCTTGGCACCCGGGGCCTGGATGTCCACCTCCACGCCGGGCAGGGCCACGTCCACCTCGGGGATGCTCAGCTCCCCCTTGGCGCCCTTCACGTCCACTTTGGGGCCCTTCAGGTCCACGTGCGGGCCCTTGAGGTCCACCTTGGGCATCTTCAGGCTGGGCATCTGCACCTTGGGCAGGTGGCCCTTCAGGCCGGCCCCAGCGGCAGCCTGTGCGGGCAGCTCTCCCTCGGGCAGCTGGCCCTCGGGCAGCTTCACGCCCACCTGGCCGGCCTTGACCTCCAGCTCGGCGGAGGGCAGCTGAATGCTCAGGTCAGGGGTCTTGAGGTCGCCCTGCGCGGAGGGCAGGGCCACGTCCGCCTCCACCTTGGGCGCCGCCACCTCCAGCGAGGCCTCCACGGAGGGCCTGCCAGGCGCGGACACGCCGAAGGAGGGCATCTTGAACTTGGGCATCTTGAACTTGCTGTCTTTGGCGGCCACGTCCTTGTCGGCCAGGGCCAGGTCCCCCTCCAGCTTGGCACCCGGGGCCTGGATGTCCACCTCCACGCCGGGCAGGGCCACGTCCACCTCGGGGCCGCTCAGCTCCCCCTTGGCGCCCTTCACGTCCACTTTGGGGCCCTTCAGGTCCACGTGCGGGCCCTTGAGGTCCACCTTGGGCATCTTCAGGCTGGGCATCTGCACCTTGGGCAGGTGGCCCTTCAGGCCGGCCCCAGCGGCAGCCTGTGCGGGCAGCTCTCCCTCGGGCAGCTGGCCCTCGGGCAGCTTCACGCCCACCTGGCCGGCCTTGACCTCCAGCTCGGCGGAGGGCAGCTGAATGCTCAGGTCAGGGGTCTTGAGGTCGCCCTGCGCGGAGGGCAGGGCCACGTCCGCCTCCACCTTGGGCGCCGCCACCTCCAGCGAGGCCTCCACGGAGGGCCTGCCAGGCGCGGACACGCCGAAGGAGGGCATCTTGAACTTGGGCATCTTGAACTTGCTGTCTTTGGCGGCCACGTCCTTGTCGGCCAGGGCCAGGTCCCCCTCCAGCTTGGCACCCGGGGCCTGGATGTCCACCTCCACGCCGGGCAGGGCCACGTCCACCTCGGGGATGCTCAGCTCCCCCTTGGCGCCCTTCACGTCCACTTTGGGGCCCTTCAGGTCCACGTGCGGGCCCTTGAGGTCCACCTTGGGCATCTTCAGGCTGGGCATCTGCACCTTGGGCAGGTGGCCCTTCAGGCCGGCCCCAGCGGCAGCCTGTGCGGGCAGCTCTCCCTCGGGCAGCTGGCCCTCGGGCAGCTTCACGCCCACCTGGCCGGCCTTGACCTCCAGCTCGGCGGAGGGCAGCTGAATGCTCAGGTCAGGGGTCTTGAGGTCGCCCTGCGCGGAGGGCAGGGCCACGTCCGCCTCCACCTTGGGCGCCGCCACCTCCAGCGAGGCCTCCACGGAGGGCCTGCCAGGCGCGGACACGCCGAAGGAGGGCATCTTGAACTTGGGCATCTTGAACTTGCTGTCTTTGGCGGCCACGTCCTTGTCGGCCAGGGCCAGGTCCCCCTCCAGCTTGGCACCCGGGGCCTGGATGTCCACCTCCACGCCGGGCAGGGCCACGTCCACCTCGGGGCCGCTCAGCTCCCCCTTGGCGCCCTTCACGTCCACTTTGGGGCCCTTCAGGTCCACGTGCGGGCCCTTGAGGTCCACCTTGGGCATCTTCAGGCTGGGCATCTGCACCTTGGGCAGGTGGCCCTTCAGGCCGGCCCCAGCGGCAGCCTGTGCGGGCAGCTCTCCCTCGGGCAGCTGGCCCTCGGGCAGCTTCACGCCCACCTGGCCGGCCTTGACCTCCAGCTCGGCGGAGGGCAGCTGAATGCTCAGGTCAGGGGTCTTGAGGTCGCCCTGCGCGGAGGGCAGGGCCACGTCCGCCTCCACCTTGGGCGCCGCCACCTCCAGCGAGGCCTCCACGGAGGGCCTGCCAGGCGCGGACACGCCGAAGGAGGGCATCTTGAACTTGGGCATCTTGAACTTGCTGTCTTTGGCGGCCACGTCCTTGTCGGCCAGGGCCAGGTCCCCCTCCAGCTTGGCACCCGGGGCCTGGATGTCCACCTCCACGCCGGGCAGGGCCACGTCCACCTCGGGGCCGCTCAGCTCCCCCTTGGCGCCCTTCACGTCCACTTTGGGGCCCTTCAGGTCCACGTGCGGGCCCTTGAGGTCCACCTTGGGCATCTTCAGGCTGGGCATCTGCACCTTGGGCAGGTGGCCCTTCAGGCCGGCCCCAGCGGCAGCCTGTGCGGGCAGCTCTCCCTCGGGCAGCTGGCCCTCGGGCAGCTTCACGCCCACCTGGCCGGCCTTGACCTCCAGCTCGGCGGAGGGCAGCTGAATGCTCAGGTCAGGGGTCTTGAGGTCGCCCTGCGCGGAGGGCAGGGCCACGTCCGCCTCCACCTTGGGCGCCGCCACCTCCAGCGAGGCCTCCACGGAGGGCCTGCCAGGCGCGGACACGCCGAAGGAGGGCATCTTGAACTTGGGCATCTTGAACTTGCTGTCTTTGGCGGCCACGTCCTTGTCGGCCAGGGCCAGGTCCCCCTCCAGCTTGGCACCCGGGGCCTGGATGTCCACCTCCACGCCGGGCAGGGCCACGTCCACCTCGGGGCCGCTCAGCTCCCCCTTGGCGCCCTTCACGTCCACTTTGGGGCCCTTCAGGTCCACGTGCGGGCCCTTGAGGTCCACCTTGGGCATCTTCAGGCTGGGCATCTGCACCTTGGGCAGGTGGCCCTTCAGGCCGGCCCCAGCGGCAGCCTGTGCGGGCAGCTCTCCCTCGGGCAGCTGGCCCTCGGGCAGCTTCACGCCCACCTGGCCGGCCTTGACCTCCAGCTCGGCGGAGGGCAGCTGAATGCTCAGGTCAGGGGTCTTGAGGTCGCCCTGCGCGGAGGGCAGGGCCACGTCCGCCTCCACCTTGGGCGCCGCCACCTCCAGCGAGGCCTCCACGGAGGGCCTGCCAGGCGCGGACACGCCGAAGGAGGGCATCTTGAACTTGGGCATCTTGAACTTGCTGTCTTTGGCGGCCACGTCCTTGTCGGCCAGGGCCAGGTCCCCCTCCAGCTTGGCACCCGGGGCCTGGATGTCCACCTCCACGCCGGGCAGGGCCACGTCCACCTCGGGGCCGCTCAGCTCCCCCTTGGCGCCCTTCACGTCCACTTTGGGGCCCTTCAGGTCCACGTGCGGGCCCTTGAGGTCCACCTTGGGCATCTTCAGGCTGGGCATCTGCACCTTGGGCAGGTGGCCCTTCAGGCCGGCCCCAGCGGCAGCCTGTGCGGGCAGCTCTCCCTCGGGCAGCTGGCCCTCGGGCAGCTTCACGCCCACCTGGCCGGCCTTGACCTCCAGCTCGGCGGAGGGCAGCTGAATGCTCAGGTCAGGGGTCTTGAGGTCGCCCTGCGCGGAGGGCAGGGCCACGTCCGCCTCCACCTTGGGCGCCGCCACCTCCAGCGAGGCCTCCACGGAGGGCCTGCCAGGCGCGGACACGCCGAAGGAGGGCATCTTGAACTTGGGCATCTTGAACTTGCTGTCTTTGGCGGCCACGTCCTTGTCGGCCAGGGCCAGGTCCCCCTCCAGCTTGGCACCCGGGGCCTGGATGTCCACCTCCACGCCGGGCAGGGCCACGTCCACCTCGGGGATGCTCAGCTCCCCCTTGGCGCCCTTCACGTCCACTTTGGGGCCCTTCAGGTCCACGTGCGGGCCCTTGAGGTCCACCTTGGGCATCTTCAGGCTGGGCATCTGCACCTTGGGCAGGTGGCCCTTCAGGCCGGCCCCAGCGGCAGCCTGTGCGGGCAGCTCTCCCTCGGGCAGCTGGCCCTCGGGCAGCTTCACGCCCACCTGGCCGGCCTTGACCTCCAGCTCGGCGGAGGGCAGCTGAATGCTCAGGTCAGGGGTCTTGAGGTCGCCCTGCGCGGAGGGCAGGGCCACGTCCGCCTCCACCTTGGGCGCCGCCACCTCCAGCGAGGCCTCCACGGAGGGCCTGCCAGGCGCGGACACGCCGAAGGAGGGCATCTTGAACTTGGGCATCTTGAACTTGCTGTCTTTGGCGGCCACGTCCTTGTCGGCCAGGGCCAGGTCCCCCTCCAGCTTGGCACCCGGGGCCTGGATGTCCACCTCCACGCCGGGCAGGGCCACGTCCACCTCGGGGCCGCTCAGCTCCCCCTTGGCGCCCTTCACGTCCACTTTGGGGCCCTTCAGGTCCACGTGCGGGCCCTTGAGGTCCACCTTGGGCATCTTCAGGCTGGGCATCTGCACCTTGGGCAGGTGGCCCTTCAGGCCGGCCCCAGCGGCAGCCTGTGCGGGCAGCTCTCCCTCGGGCAGCTGGCCCTCGGGCAGCTTCACGCCCACCTGGCCGGCCTTGACCTCCAGCTCGGCGGAGGGCAGCTGAATGCTCAGGTCAGGGGTCTTGAGGTCGCCCTGCGCGGAGGGCAGGGCCACGTCCGCCTCCACCTTGGGCGCCGCCACCTCCAGCGAGGCCTCCACGGAGGGCCTGCCAGGCGCGGACACGCCGAAGGAGGGCATCTTGAACTTGGGCATCTTGAACTTGCTGTCTTTGGCGGCCACGTCCTTGTCGGCCAGGGCCAGGTCCCCCTCCAGCTTGGCACCCGGGGCCTGGATGTCCACCTCCACGCCGGGCAGGGCCACGTCCACCTCGGGGCCGCTCAGCTCCCCCTTGGCGCCCTTCACGTCCACTTTGGGGCCCTTCAGGTCCACGTGCGGGCCCTTGAGGTCCACCTTGGGCATCTTCAGGCTGGGCATCTGCACCTTGGGCAGGTGGCCCTTCAGGCCGGCCCCAGCGGCAGCCTGTGCGGGCAGCTCTCCCTCGGGCAGCTGGCCCTCGGGCAGCTTCACGCCCACCTGGCCGGCCTTGACCTCCAGCTCGGCGGAGGCCAGCTGAATGCTCAGGTCAGGGGTCTTGAGGTCGCCCTGCGCGGAGGGCAGGGCCACGTCCGCCTCCACCTTGGGCGCCGCCACCTCCAGCGAGGCCTCCACGGAGGGCCTGCCAGGCGCGGACACGCCGAAGGAGGGCATCTTGAACTTGGGCATCTTGAACTTGCTGTCTTTGGCGGCCACGTCCTTGTCGGCCAGGGCCAGGTCCCCCTCCAGCTTGGCACCCGGGGCCTGGATGTCCACCTCCACGCCGGGCAGGGCCACGTCCACCTCGGGGCCTCTCAGCTCCCCCTTGGGGCCCTTCACGTCCACTTTGGGGCCCTTCAGGTCCACGTGCGGGCTCTTGAGGTCCTCCTTGGGCATCTTCAGGCTGGGCATCTGCACCTTGGGCAGGTGGCCCTTCAGGCCGGCCCCAGCGGCAGCCTGTGCGGGCAGCTCTCCCTCGGGCAGCTGGCCCTCGGGCAGCTTCACGCCCACCTGGCCGGCCTTGACCTCCAGCTCGGCGGAGGGCAGCTGAATGCTCAGGTCAGGGGTCTTGAGGTCGCCCTGCGCGGAGGGCAGGGCCACGTCCGCCTCCACCTTGGGCGCCGCCACCTCCAGCGAGGCCTCCACGGAGGGCCTGCCAGGCGCGGACACGCCGAAGGAGGGCATCTTGAACTTGGGCATCTTGAACTTGCTGTCTTTGGCGGCCACGTCCTTGTCGGCCAGGGCCAGGTCCCCCTCCAGCTTGGCACCCGGGGCCTGGATGTCCACCTCCACGCCGGGCAGGGCCACGTCCACCTCGGGGCCGCTCAGCTCCCCCTTGGCGCCCTTCACGTCCACTTTGGGGCCCTTCAGGTCCACGTGCGGGCCCTTGAGGTCCACCTTGGGCATCTTCAGGCTGGGCATCTGCACCTTGGGCAGGTGGCCCTTCAGGCCGGCCCCAGCGGCAGCCTGTGCGGGCAGCTCTCCCTCGGGCAGCTGGCCCTCGGGCAGCTTCACGCCCACCTGGCCGGCCTTGACCTCCAGCTCGGCGGAGGGCAGCTGAATGCTCAGGTCAGGGGTCTTGAGGTCGCCCTGCGCGGAGGGCAGGGCCACGTCCGCCTCCACCTTGGGCGCCGCCACCTCCAGCGAGGCCTCCACGGAGGGCCTGCCAGGCGCGGACACGCCGAAGGAGGGCATCTTGAACTTGGGCATCTTGAACTTGCTGTCTTTGGCGGCCACGTCCTTGTCGGCCAGGGCCAGGTCCCCCTCCAGCTTGGCACCCGGGGCCTGGATGTCCACCTCCACGCCGGGCAGGGCCACGTCCACCTCGGGGCCGCTCAGCTCCCCCTTGGGGCCCTTCACGTCCACTTTGGGGCCCTTCAGGTCCACGTGCGGGCCCTTGAGGTCCACCTTGGGCATCTTCAGGCTGGGCATCTGCACCTTGGGCAGGTGGCCCTTCAGGCCGGCCCCAGCGGCAGCCTGTGCGGGCAGCTCTCCCTCGGGCAGCTGGCCCTCGGGCAGCTTCACGCCCACCTGGCCGGCCTTGACCTCCAGCTCGGCGGAGGGCAGCTGAATGCTCAGGTCAGGGGTCTTGAGGTCGCCCTGCGCGGAGGGCAGGGCCACGTCCGCCTCCACCTTGGGCGCCGCCACCTCCAGCGAGGCCTCCACGGAGGGCCTGCCAGGCGCCGACACTCCGAAGGATGGCATCTTGAACTTGGGCATCTTGAAATTTAATTCTCTTTTTGAACACTCTCCTTCTTCATTACTTTTTTGTTCCACTTCCATGGTCTTTGTTTTCACTCTATTTTCTGTTTTCTCTCTCTTGTCTCTGTCTTTTACACAGTCCCTGTGTTTTCTCTGTATGGCCTCTTTTATGTTTTCCTCATCCAGTGTTTCATAGTCCAATGTCTTCATTTCTTGTCTGTTTTTCACTGCTGTTTCCTCCCTTGTTGGAGACCATCCAAAGGATGGTATTCTGAATTTGGGCATCTTCAACCTTACATGCTCTGTCTGTGTTACCTGTTCTTTTTCTTCTCTTGCCTTCTCTTCATTTTTCCAACTTTCTCTCCCATCCTCTCTTCCTTTAGAGTGCACTGTTCCTCCTTGTGAGTCTACTTGTACCTGTATATTTTTCCCGTCCCTGTACCCTGATTCTTGCTGTACCGTGTCCCCTAGGACAACTTCTTTCATGTCTCTTTTTGTCTCTTTCTTCTTTTTTTGGGAAATCCCAGTTTCCGGGGTTTTCCCGTCGCATTGTGAAACCTGTGGGCTGCCTTGGTCAGGTTTGTCTTGCAGAGACAGTCTTGCAATGCCAATTTCCAGGCTCTCTACCTCTTCCCATTCGTCATCCCAGCTCCTTCCTGGGGCTGGCTCAGCTCTATGCTGGCCAAGTGTCTTCTCCTTTTCTTGTTTTGCCAACTGCTTCTTCTTTCTGTGATGTCTGTCTGTTTTCCCTCCCATTTCTCCAGGGCCTTCTCTGTCCACGTTGGGATGACTGGGTTTCGTAGGCTTCTGCACAGTTAGAGCAGACATGAATCCGGGTGCCGGAGTCTCATCCTCCTGTGGCTGGGACTCTTGCAGCTCCCCAGCACGATCCTGCCTGTCCTGGATCTCTCTGCCCACTTGCTCAGTTGTATTTGGGCCTTGCCCAGAGCTCATCCCAAGTCTCAGGTTCAGGAACCTCCTCCTTCGTCTTCCTGACCCTGACTTCTGCTCTCGGCTGTCAGCAGTCAGCTGGGCCTCTGTGTCTGTGCTTGTGGGGGACACATCACGTGTGTCCCTGTGCTCTGAGGCTTCTGAGGAACTGTGTGAGCGTCGGGGGCCTGTCCCCCGCTTGCTCCTTAAGGCTTGAAATTTTGGCCAGGAGAGTCTGTCCTGGGGCCGCCTCTGGCGACCATCCCTGGACTTAGAAATAAGTCTTTCTCGGTCTCCATCTGCCTCTAGCGTCTTTGTAGGGGTCTCCATGTATCCATCAGCACTGTCCTTGTCCTGGAACAGGAGAAGAAGCTGTTTGTTTTGGGCACAAGAGTCTGTACCATAGACACTGTTCACAGGAAGGGGGTCTCTAGTGCAGCTGAGGCTGCCTTAGATCTCACTGGGCACGACCTTACCTGTTTTTCCTGGCCTTTCAAGCCTCGCTGAGATTGCTGAATGGCTGACTCCTCTCCCTTGCTGGCAGAGAGTTTCCGTTTGATTCTGAACTGAACTTTGTATGGTTCTGAGTACTGAAGGATTTTAAGAGCATCTTCGTATTTCATGTGGTCAAAGAATATGGTTGCACTGAGAAGTTGATCCCCTAAAGGAAGAAGAAACTAGGTTCAGTGCCCCTGTCCCCACCAGAATAGATGTGGTCTGGGGGCTACACTGGCAAGGGGAAGCCCTTCAGCCTATGTCCCGCTCCCCAGTGGCACCTCAAACAACATGCGGGATATCAGGGCACAGTGGGCAGTCCCACCCTGGGGTGACTGAGCAAAGCCCTTGGGGCCATCCCGAGCCTGAGGTGAGGCCCACCCCTCAAGGTTTCTCCATTTCCCCCTCACCCTGGTGTTGATGGTGGAGCCCCCAGGGACGGGACAGTTGTGATACCTTCTTTCAGGCTGAATAGTTTGGCAGCAGAGGAGTCCTTCAGCACTTGCTTGACAAAGATCCCCTGGTCTCCTCCACCTGTGACAGTGTAGCCACTGGCTCCTGACTCTACCTCAGTCTTCAAGGTCACCTCTGTTGCCTCCTGCGTAGACTGAGGCAGAAGAAGGGTATGATGAGTGCTTGCCTATCTCATGTAGGCATTACTGTAGTGGCCAGTATCTCCCAAGGATGGTGATCTGTGCTGCCTGAGTAGAAGCTGGGGTACCATCCAAGTGGGCCAGGCTACTGGGTCTGGGGTTTAGAGAAAGCCCAGCTGCAGGAAGCCTCAGTTGGAATCAGGGGACAGTCTGTCTAGGCAGCCGAGTCTCCAGGGGAGAGGCTCTAGCCAGCCTTCCTTCTGCTGATCCTTCACTGGTTCATTACAAATGTGTGAAGCATTCATGCCATGTAAAGCACCAGGGCTGGATCCCAGGAGGGACACAAACACTGGGGACGTCTGCAGTCCCCCTGATCCTGCAAATGATGGCCACCCACTTTGCCCATCAAACTGAGGCTATCCAGGGAAGCACAGAGGCAAAATGACCCTTAATGGGTACCCAGCTGAACCCCTCCCACCTTCCTTGGCCAAGGCTCTTCCTCACCACAGCCTGGGTACCATTGTCCACAGTGCTGTCCGCTGCACATTGAAGTATGGCTGTACATACGCTAGTCAGGTGTCAGACTCTTTCCCATTAGAGGGTGGACACTAGCCTCTGCATCTGCCCCTCCCAGGCCTGAGGCACAGGCGCACTATCCCCAGGACACAGGGTATGCCTCTCCCTCCATCTCCTGGGGCTGAAGCCCTTGAGGAAGGGTTATCCCCCGACTCTCACTGGTATGGCACCTACCTCTGGGTGACTCATACTGGAGAAGGCTGTGGATTCTCCTGAATCCCTTTTCCACCAGGATCTCCGTCTGCCAGAGGAGCTGTGCCTGCCCTGGTTGTTTTCCTGCAGTCAAGGGGTTGGGAGTTACCACTTACTCTGCTAAGGAGACATGAGTGTCAGGGAGGCTCCGAGCAGGAGAACCCAGGATGCAGGAATACAGGAAGTCCGGGTGCGAGAGTACCGGGGAGCTAAGTACCTAGGACCTCACTGGGAAAGGCAATTCTCAGCCTCCTGTTTCCTCACTGAGGAACAGGTATGCCCCCACCCTGTAGCAACTGGAGGTACTTTAGAAGGGGGAAGACTTTCAAAGTACAAAATGAGTCTTCAGCGCAGACAGGTCTCCTCTGATTCCTGCATGGCTCCTCTCACAAGGAAGTCAGCAGTCTCCTCTCCAAGATGGTATGAGTGTACATGTATGGGTGTGCTATGAAGGAGTATGCCCCTGCCACATCCCACAGTGGGTTCTCAGAGTTTGTCACACACACACACACACACACACACACACACACACACACACACACACGAGCTGCAAGTGTCCCCATCTCCACAGTGGCTCAGCCAGCTAAAGGGAGGGGCAGTGGAGAAGAGGGCAAGACCAAATGCCTACGGCAGAGAGGGCAAGCGGGATAAGGTGCCTGTGGGCCACACCTGAGCCTTCCTTCGACCAGCAGTTCTGCCCTGCAGGCTTACCTGGGCTCCAAAGCCAGCACCTTCAGCTGTGTATTCATAAACAGGGGAGGACCCCTGCGGCCTTGGCCGAATGATCTCACCCACAGGCCCTTCAGTCACCTGGTGGAAGATAATAAAGTTACCTCCAACTACCAGCTCTCCAGCCTGGGGGAGATGGGGCGGGGCTGAAGAGGAAGGGGTTCCCCTTGGGGTGACACTCACAGAGTAGTCTTCTTCAGTCTCAACCCCTGGCTCCTGGTTCTGCAGCTGTCGTCCAGACACTACAGAGACAAGAGTGGTTAGTGGACATGAGGGCGGTAGGCTGTATGGTGAACACGGGAAAACAGGGTACGCAAGGGTGAACATGGGCCTGAGGGAAGATCCAGAGACCCTGGGTGGAGCAACCACAGGACAGCAGTAGAGTGGGATTTGCAGATTTAGTCCAAGAGAGAAACACAAACAATAACTACCCAGAGCCTGAAATTAACATCCAGAGTTGCTGTAATATGGTCTGCTAAACATCCTGCATCCATCCCCAAATCACAGGCAGTAAAAAGAAACAAGAAGATGGAGCTCCACACTGAAGAGCAAGGAGTGATGGACGGTGTCTCCAAGAGTCCGCAGACTCCGACTAACCGCTAACAGATGTTTAAAATGCTAAAGGAAACCACGCATAGGGTTAAAGACTGATGGCAGACTCTCAGAGAGAGAACTTACAGGGTTAGAGATGTAGTTAAGTTGGTAGACTGCTTGTCTAGAATGCACAAAGCCCTTCTTCGATTTCCAGGAATGCAAACCCCAGCACGGTACCCACAGCTGCACCCCCACCACTTGAAGGGTGAATGCAGGAGGACTGGGGTTCAAGGTCATCCTCAGCCGTATGTTTTCAGGCCAGTCTGGGATACCATGCATCACATAAAAATCAATCAATTCAACCCTGAGTTTTTAAAGCCAAAATTGTGGAAATTCTGGAGTGGAGTATGTATTAGAGACTCAATAGTAGATCGGAGGAGCCTGGAGAAAGCACTTCAGACTGAATTTCATAACCGCTTTGAAGAACACGATAGAAAAGCTGAAGAAAGATGAGCAGAGCCTCAGGAATCTTCGGGAAGAAAAAGAGAAAAAGGCGGAAAAAACCTGCTGAAGAAGCAATGGAAGGAACTAGTGGACAGGTCCAAGGGGTTCGACAAATCCTGAGCAGGAGAGACACAGAGATCTTCACGGAACAAACCATGATCAAAGAAAGTGGCCCAGCACCCAGAAAGACACGAAAGCACCGCTGACAGCCGGCTTCTCAGAAGAATGGAATAACAGCTAGCCCCGGACCTGCTGAGACAGATGGCCCAGCAGGTGAAGGCGCCCCCGGGACCCATGTGATGAGTGGAGAGAACTGACCTCCACGGAAGCGCCATGGCATGGGCACCTGTGTGCACAGTCCAGGCCACACAAGACCAGGACTCAAAGAGACAGTTAAAGAGAAGGCAGGCATGGTGGCGCTTGTTTTTAATCCCGGCATTCCAGAGGTAGATGCAGGCAGACCGCTGTGAGTCCAAGGGCAGCCTGGTCTACATGGTGAGTTCTGAGCTACCCAGAGCTACATTCTGAGACCCTGTCTCAAAAATAAAATTAAATAAAAAACTGTGGAAATGAGAAGAAAATTCAACAATATTTGCAAAGACTGAAAGAAAAAAAGCTTTCAGGCAAGAACTTGATCCCCCATTCTCCTACAACAGCCATTACACTTGTACACATTGAAAGAAAGAAGAAAAAAGAAAAGAAGACAGGGAGGGAGGAAAAAAGGAAAGAAAGCCTGAGTTGGTAGGTGAAGTCCCGAGTGAATGTGTGTTATTGGCAAAGACCAATGCCTCAGGCCCCCGGGAACTGGCAAGACGTTCCTCTAGTCCATGTGCAAATGCTGACAGAAAGCCTGAGTGCAGCAGCCTCCTCCCAGGTGGACGGCAACCGAGACAGCGCCCTACAGAGACTTCCAAGCAGACTCGCATTAGATTACCCTCCTTCTTGTACATAAGGAACGCCCCGAGGTTCCAGGCTGTGTGTGGTTGCTGCCGCTCCATCAGAGTGAGCATGGCCTAGCCAGTACCGGCTTTTCTGTATGTGTGTCTGTTTATCTGTCCTTTCTTTATTCACTTTCTTCATTTCCAGAACCAATCCATGCTGGACAGGCTTCCACGGAACTCATCTTTTTTAAAACGCGGGTGTGATGGCTTGCACGTGTAACCCTAACACTGGGGAGGTAGAGATAAGTGGTTTCCTGGGGCTCACAGGCCAGTCAGCCTAGCCTACAAGGCCAGTGAGAGACCCTGCCTCAAAATCTAGTGTGAACAGGATCCAGGGAACAATATCTGAAACTGGCCTCTGGCCTACACACACACACACACACACACACACACACACACACACACACACACACAGAGAGAGAGAGAGAGAGAGAGAGAGAGAGAGAGAGAGAGAGAGTTCAAAATGTGCATGCTTTACAAAGGATGGTGTGAAAATGGTCAATTAATACAAGAAAAACCGGCCAGCCCCCTAGCGAAATGCAGATTTAAAAACCACAAAGCAAAGTAGATCTCCCAGCACCATAGGAATGGAAGGCTCTTCTCGGTGAGGGGTGCAGGGGCCACTGGACGTGGGAAAATACTAATCTTTATTGCCAACTCAGCCACAGAACACATTGATTTTTATGTGAATTACAGTTCCAAAGATGAAGATTTAATAAATCTTAAAGAAAACAGAAATTACTTTGGCAGAGAACAAAAAAATCTTAAACAAGACACCAAGGCTTGTGAGATGGCCCTCGGGTAAAAGATGCTGGCCACCAAGCCTGGTGACCTGAGTTCAGTCCTTGGGACCCACATGATGTCCTCTGACCTCTCCATGTCCTGTGGCACATGTGTTTGTACACATACACAGACACACACACAATAAAGAAAGAAATGTAACTCTTTTTTAATTAGCCCAAGTGAAATAAGTGAGAAATCAGTCTACCTTAAAATTTGGAACTTCAGTCAGGCGAAGACACCGGTGAGGGTGTGAAATTCAGGCTCCAGCCTGGGCAAAGATGTTTGTAAGACATCTTTGTAAATTAGCAACTACAGGCGCCCTGCCCGGAAAGTACAAATAGTTCTTGCAAACCAAGAAAGGCTAAATGACCCAGTGAAAACCAGGCCAGGGCTGGGAGCACAGGTCAGTGGCAGAAGCCAGGAGTTTAATTTCCAGAAGAAAGGAGGAAGAAGGAGAGCAGGAAAGGAGCTGGGGAGGGAGAAAAGTGGACATGGAGGGCACGCACATAGGATGTACAACTGGCCTTCCAAATCCACAGTGAGGACTCATGCTGTTCCCAGAGCGGCTGAAATGAAAAGGCCTGGGTGTGCTGAAGGAGAGGAAGACGTCGGCAGCTGGAATCCTGTCCCATCTAGGCAGGAGGTGAACTGGGACAATCGGTTTGGAAAATGGCCTGCTGATATTGACCAAGGCCATCTACCTGCTGGCCCTGCAGCTTCACAGCCAGGCACAAGCTAACAGGCACCAGCATGTCACCATGGTGCCAGCATGCTCTGCTGCTCCAGTGACACTCATGCTCATCTCCATCCTACAAATTTTTTTTTTAATTTTTGGCTTTTGGTTTTGTTTTGTTTTGACATAGGGTTTCACCATGTAGCACTGGCTGTCCTGGAACTCACAGAGATCCAGCTGACTCTGCCTCCTGAGTGCTGGAATTAAAGGTGTGTGCCACCATACCCAGCACCCTACAAATTTTTAAGTGATATAAGTCAACGTACTTTCTCTGTGCTGAGAATAGTGTTTATTCGTCAGAAGATAGAACGGCAGTGAGTGGCCTCTTTAGTCCATTGCTGCCTTTGCAGATAAAGTTTTATTGGGACACAGAAAAAAACAAAATTTTCCCCCACATAGAACTCCAGCCTAAAGCCCCTGAATTCTGCTAAATATTCACAGGAAGAACAGCCCTGATGCACATGGAAGGCGGCTGGGCCTGGGCTCCAGGACTACCTCCACAAGGGAAGCAATGCTGAGGATTAAGCCCCTCCGCTGCTTCAGGCCTGTCCTGAGGGGTGGAGTCCCTGCTACACAGACATTGTCGCTGTCAGTAATGGAGTCCTGTGCACTGACCCTGACATTCTCATAGGATTCTGGATGTAGCTACTATGCTCTGGTCAACCTGGATTCCCGCAGGTATGCTCAGAGGCCACCCTGCCAGTCCCGACACTCCTGTCCCCAGAGGCACCCCAGGAGTTGTGCCTATCAGCACTTGACACTCTAGCTTCTTCTCCTGCCTGTTTGCTGTTGTTCTTTTAAAAGCGGCTCTGAGAGGGCCAGGGATGGAGCTTCCCGGGGTTAGTCCTCCCGAGGGAGGTGGGGAGGGTCAAAGACTGCCTGTCAGGTCCCACCTCTCCTTCCTGTTACTCTGTGGGCTAAACCACAGACCCTGACCTCTAGGACATCAGGAAAGTCACAGTCTCCATTTATAAGACTGACCTTAGGCAAGATAATAGTCAAGGAACTCCATATCCCTGGAATCCCCGTGTTCATGTCCCATAACCTAGGGATAGAAAGTGTGCCAGTCATCTGTCTCCATCATCATCCCCGCCCAGTCTTTGTCCAGGCACCCCACCACTGCTGGGGGCTCCCAGGATTGCTCAGAGAATCCACTCTTTGCCCTAGCCACATATTGACTTAGGGGATGTGGAAAGGGGGTAGCTATAGGAGGGACTCTGGGTCAACTACCCTTCCTGGAAGCCAGGCAAGGGTAGATGAACCTACGTCTTCCTGTTTCCCTGGCTGAGGCTGGAGCTTTGGCCAGGGTCCAGGCCTAGGACTGGGCCCAGCTGGTGCTGGGATGGGGGTCCCAGAATGGAAGACCCCCATGGCCAGGCAGTGACCTACCCCTGAGAAATTGTATTCCATACCTGTCTCACAGGAGTTTCATGAATGTCAAAAGCCTCTGAGGAAAGGTGTTGACAGCTGGGACGTGGGAAGCATGAGGCAGACCAGCCCCGGCCCTGCTGGCTGGGGTTCAGGCTCCTTCTCAGGCTCAGCAAGCTTCAGTATAGCCAATCCCACCCACACAGGCCCCCCTTCCTTGTGAGGATGGAGAGACGGCCCTGGGGAGAGGCATGAACTCTGCCATGAGGCTGCACTCCAGGCTTCAGCAGGATCCCCCACCCAGGAACCACAAAGAGGAAAGCAGAAACTCTACTGACTGCTAGATGGAGAGAGGCCTGCCTACGCCCACCAGCTGTGG